GTGGGTTGTTGTTCCCTTTGGTCGCTGGAATTGGAACAAAAGGCAGTAGGTTGGGATTGCAAAAGGAAAGGTTCATATTCAGTTTAACTTTGGGAATAACTTCCTAAGGGTTAGAACTGGTTTTCATACACCTTTTCATTACACTCGGCGAGAGCAGACTGTGCATCAGGCACTGTGCTGGGTGCTGCTGATGGAGAATAAATCAGGTCCTCTGCTATCCTAGCATTATCAGTTCTATGAACGTGTAATCAACACACTGTAGGAGAAGGGCAGTATGGAATTAGGAATGAGCTTATATGGGAATATGGAGGAGATGAATACAACCCAATCTGCCCCAAGATGCTTATAGTCCAATAACACTTATTTTGAGAATTACCACCCTTCTCTGAATAATAGCTATGTACCAGTTCCAGGCATTATGCTATGTTTCCACTCCTTAAAGCACCCCTGTGATGGTTATCTGCCCTAATTTTCAGATAAGGAAATTAAAATCACCCACTGAGGCACCTGGTACAAGGAACAGAAGGGCTAATGGTCAGTACAAGCTGAGTGGGAGTTTTACATTGTGCACCCCAAGTTAAAGTTGAAAAGTCCCTGGTGGAAACATTTTTCCAGAATTTTTTCTCTGCCATCATCCCATGTAGAATTTTGCCCTTCTTGGCTGCTCACCTCCCTCTTAAGCACAGTATCTTCCGTTTTTACTGAAGCTCTGACAATATTCCCAACACAAGCACTCTTCACATTTTTCCCAAAAAGAGGAGGGCCTACAAGTTCCCTTATCAGTTGCTAATACTAAAATGGTATTTGTCTCCTTGCCTGCCATAGATATGCAAGATAGTGTTTTCAAGGTGTGAATAGGATGGTTCTGAGTCCATTCTATAAGCAAGAGATCCCCACCCTTCTGCTGCTGACATGCCCAGAATGGATCCAGGTGCTGAGATGCTGCGCCCTCTGCTCTCAGGGGGCCAGTGGTGCTGGGGCAGCTGGTGTTTTCTTCAGAGAACCATATGTTTTCTACGTGTGTCAGGACTTTAAAAGGACTAGGAAGCACTGCCCTAAGCCATCCCATGAAACATCCTGGGCTTAGTGGTGGTAATAAGTGAGAGAGCCTTGAGAGCGAGATAGAAAGAAGGCAAATGGGAAAAGGAGAAGCAGGTGAGGGCTGACCAAGGTCAGAGATGTAATTGGTGACCTTAGAGAATGAAACTTGGCGGTCCATCTAGGAACCCACACCTTGAACTCATTATCAAGGCCTCTTAGCAGCTGTTCTCACAGCCAGGAATGTGAACTTAACTTGTCAAGATCAAGATTGAGTCAACTCATTTGAGATGCAAGGCTGGCTTGCCCTTTGAACTTTGTTCCCACCATGGCCATTTAATTATTTTATGAGTCCTTATAATTCTCTGAGAAAAAAACTGGCTTCAGAAGTACAGTCTCTAACACTTTTTCAGGTTACAATATTTTTATGAACTGCAAGAAACTTACAGTGCTGTAAAGAAACTACGTAAAGAAAGTGTCAGCATTTTCAATATAATCTCTATTTCCAAAGGTTTATGCATTCTGGAGAAATTTGCTTGAGGGTGAAATTTGACATAGGGTGCCTGAGTCCCTGACCATCTACAACTCATTCGCAGGTACTTTACAAATGAGTCCTTCAAATTTGCTGTATTTGTCATCTGTAATTTTTAGAATTAAAAAATGGCTTTAATAGCAGGTGGCTTCTGGGTTTTGTGTCAGTGCACTTCTCAAAGAATCAGAGAACTCAGGAACACCAAAAGTCCTGTTCTGTAGAGCCTGTTATGGTAACATGTGAAGAGAAAAAAGAGGGAAAAATAATTTACAGGGACGGATGCCAGAAAATGTATGTCCATAGGAGGGCACCAGACTTAGACTTCTTTCATTGTTTCCCCCATCCCACATCCCTTCTTGCTCTTCCTGCCCTTGTGTTACAGGCCAGCCCAACGTTCCTGGGCTTCACTGTCTGGGGCTTTTCCCCAGAGAATTACTGAGAAAGGCAGCCAAGAGTTTCACTTTGCTTTTGAGTCTCCATTTGAGGGACTGGATTAAGTGCTTTTCGAGCCATGAAATACTTGGAGGAGAGTTCTTAGACAAAGCCAGGAAAACATTGCCCTTGGAAGCAAATGCCTATCACCAAGCCCAGAGAGGTGAGATAAATGCCAGAAAAAAACCCGGTGTGGAGGGAAGTCTATGGATGCAAAACACCAGGGCAGAAGGAAGGGTTACTGGGCTATTACAGTTCAGCGGTGCCCCGTAGATCAGGTGGTGTAGGCGTCCTTAGTGGAGGCAGCAACCATGCAGATGCTGGCAGTGTCAGACAGACTCCAGCCTCAGGATGGGGAGCATGGGACCCTGCGCAATTCCAGAGAGGCTCAGTGCCTCGTGGGAGCAGCAGCCATTCCATGAGCTTTCTGCTCACAGAGCTGCCTCGATGACTATTAACCAAACAGACCCTATTTCTGGATTTACCTATCCATTTTGGGAGAATCAGTACAGTTTGGTGGTGAAGAGGATGATCTTTACCATTGTGCAAGGCTGGATTCAAATCCCAGCTCTTTGTTTATAGCATATGGCCTTGGGCAATTTACTTATCTCCTTGAGACATGACTCCTTATTTGTAAATGGCGATAATAGTTCTTACCTTACAAGGTTGTAAAGATGAAGAGATGATACAAAGAAAGCAGTCAACTCCTGGTAGCTCTTAATAAGCAGCCAAACTAGGTGATTCATTTTCCCAAAAGGAAAAAAGCCTGTAATGGCCCGCACGCTGAGCACTGCGGTTCCGGGTTGGCAGTCCCGGCAATGCTGGGAGTAGATTATCCCGGCAGGCAGCCAGGGGCTGTTGGGACTAACACGTCACAGCTGTTACCTCCCAGGAACCTGATTCCCATCTCCAAAGACTGGGCTGGTTTTGATGAAGATCTGCTTGACCCTGTGTGAGGCTGAAATAGTTCCAACATTTAGAATTGCCCCACGGACAGCACACGGACATGCTGGGTCTGAGGAGTTTTGTGTATCTAAGCTAAAATGAAGAAAGGACGCAGTTCTGAATAGCAGGGGTATTTCTTTTCGAGCTCTTCTGGTAACACCTCCCCATGCAAACAGCTGACCATTTCTCAAAAAGACCATTCTGTGACAATTAAGTCCCCTTAACTGAGGAGAAAATGAATAATCTGTAAAACTAGTTGAGAAAACACCTGACCGTGTAGAGGCCCTGAAATGAGTGGGGCTGAAACTGAGCCCTTGTGATCCTGGGGAAAAAATAAAAAGCATATCTCAGAGCCTAGCCATATGATGCAGGGCTCCTCAAGTCCATGATCAACCTCAGACATCTGGCACTACAGGAGATGGCTGATTAGCTCTATATGGAGAAAGGAGACCTGCATCTCTCTACTGAATATCCCTTTGGACACTGAGGTTTCTCTTCTGATAGGGACTTCATCTTGCTACTGCTTCCAAAACCAGACCTATGAGAATCTATAAAGCCACTCTGTATGCAACCCCACTCCTTTGTTTTTACCTTAGCATTAGGAATTTCCCAGAATTCTACTCACTTACAGTAAAGAGGTTTTGAGGAGAACAGTGGGGAATGGGCAGATTCTGAAATTCAGATACTGATTTCTCAGCATTCAGTGAGATGGTGTGTAAGAAAGGTACTTAAGGTTGAACTGTTTCCTCTTCACTAATATCTAGTAAGCATACTAAGCACTTTGTATATGTCACCGTTAGTTCATTCTTTCAGCTATTGCACTGTATGTGAAGTGTCATTCTAAATTCTGAAGATTTGATACTGAACATATTTTTATCATCACAGCAATCCCATAAGGAGCCTGAAAAGTCTAGAGTTACAGTTCTTTTGCAAGCATTCATACAGTGGTTATTGGTGGATATACTCCAAGTCCACTATTCCATAAAGCACCATGAAAATGTTAGCTGTTGAGCCTCTTAATACAAAGATTGCATCATTTCTCTTATATTCTCCACTACTCCTAACATGGGGCTGAGTGGGCCTCTTACCCCATCCTAGATTTATAAGATGCTGACATAAACTTGACTAAGATGTTTCATTCTAAGATTGTCATATAAGCAGGAGACTTTTTGGGTGACCACCAGATCTTAGCTGTTGCATTGACTTGGATAAACCCTACCACCATTTCAGAAATACAAATAGATAATAATTGTTTTTCAAGAATTGTATTTTGGGCTGTATATAACATTTTTTGAAGAAGAGACATAGGCAGAATATGTCACACGCACATATGGTGATAGAAGCTTGATTTCTTTCAGGGAATAGAGGGATCCCTGGGAGTGACAGGAAATCCAAAGGGTGCTGATGAGTTTTGTCATTACATAAAATGAGAATGAAAGAAAGTGGCTCCATAGTCTTCTCAGTAAGACTTCAAATGGCAGTCAAGCCAAATGAAACCCACACAAGAAAGTGATGTTACCATGGGTAAGGCACTTTGGGGATGGCCCTTAAAACACGTGAATTACTTATCCTCACAGTCAGACTGAGCAGCCAGAGGCTTAGTGAACTGCCCAGTGGATGACAATTCATGCCTGCGATGCAGTTACCTTTGTTAGGACATCACGTCAATTTGTTATGGATGTTCATTTCTCATCTTATTTCAGTTAATAAATTTTACCTAATCAGTTGAAGTCAGATGATTCCCAATTGAAATAAGGGTAATTGGAAGTATTTTTTTCTCTCTAATAATTGTTCTTTTCCTGTTCTAACTCCAGAGAACTATCCAGGGTATACGTACCTGTGCCCTTTTGCTGCCAGTAACAGCTTTCTTACCTCATTATGTGAAGGGAATATTTTCATGTTCAATTAAATGTGTGTTTAATGTCACTCCCTGGAAAATGAGTACAGCATCAATAGTATTTGTTCCTTCTAGATATCCCCTTTCCTCCAGATCAGATCCAAATGCCCACAATCCTTGAGCCTTCTCTAATACTCACTGTGTTATTCTGTCTAGAATCAAACTGCCAGATGAGGACATTGGACAGTGGGATCGGAACCTTCCCACTCCCAGACTCTGGAAATCGCTCAGCAGGACGGTATATATGCCAGCCAGACTCCCCAGAGGACGCAGGGCCCATCCTGTCTCTCCAACCCGCCCTTTGTGCAGCTTCATCCATCGGAGCCCAGACCCTTGAACGAGAAGTGCCTTCCTCTGCAGACTGCCAAGGCACTGCAGATGACGCCACTGTGCATCCCACTTCAGACCCCATCGTGACGGCCAGAGGGACACGACCTCTTCAGAGCCGCCTCCCCAAGCCAGCCTCCTCAGGTAAAATGTCTATTACCTTCCAAATTAGGTTGCTTTCCCACCAAAATAAGGCACTTGCTGACAAAAATGGAAAACAGAAAAGGTTTCAACCAAAAGGTTAGCAGAGACCTCTGCAAAATGGAAATGCAGATGCATGAAAATCCCTGTATGTCCTCAACCAAAGAGTAAAAAGACAAATATTAACATGGTCTACTTGCCAGTGGGTTTCAGCCCAAGGCAAGTTCACTATAGATTCAGTGTGACTAAAGAAATGACAGTAGAACATTCTTGGGGTGAAAGGGTTATACCTGACTTTATTCCCATGGTGGCAGGTCAATCACTAAAATCCCATCCACACAGAGCAAGTCTGCATGCAGCAAGCCGGTCTCTGCCTCTGGGCCTCTCTGCCCACACAGCCGTCCTCTGGGCCTCTGTCCTCGGCACTGCCACCACTCCAGCCTCTGCTCTGCTCTGCTCTCCTGCAGCCTTGCATCTGTGCCACCGTACTGCCCAGACCACTGGGCAGAGCTCTTTATATAGAGTCAGTAACAACATATTGCCCACACCTGTGTAGTGAGCTAGCCAACCAGGGCCAGGTGAGAATCCTGGCCACAGGAACCTTCACTTTATCCACACTATTCTTTTCTTTTTTTGCAGTTTCTTCCTGGGTCTGTTGTTCTGTTTTTGTGTATTTTAATTGAAATATTGTTATTATCTTAATATCACGTTGAGTATAAATACATCAGAAGGAAATGAGTGTGTAAGTACAGTATGTTAATTAAGAAAACACACAACACACACACACACACACACACACACACACACTCACACGTGAGCTTTATTTTTTAAGACTTAACTCTGAGTATAGACCAGTTTAGGCCCAAGACATAAATTTAGCTGAAACTTTGTTTGCCCTCTAGCCAGAAATGTATGTCTTCTGACATATTCCTATCCTGTTCAATATATTTCTATGTTGAACTATAAAAAAACGTAGTCTGCTATACCAGCAAGAGACTGTGTATTAGCTGCAGTGAAGTGGAATGAGCCTCCCATGGAGAAGTACCATCCTTTATGGTGGTCAGTTGAAACAAGCTTTCATGATTAAAGATAGGACCAGGCTAAGGGTCAATGTTTTTTCATTATTCCCTCAATATTAAAAATATTTATTGCAGCTCAAGATGATACTAAATAATTTTTAACTCATATGGCTTTTGTTGCACTTATAACATGCATAAGCATATGAAATAGAACTCTAAAGACTCTCATTTATGATTTGATGATAGAAAGGAGCCACAAGGAAAGATTATGTTATAGGCTTCTGAGAAATTAGAAAAGAGACTTTTAATTAAACATCCTTGAATAAGTGTGATTGGGCTTATTGCCATGGCTGAGTTCTTTTCTCATACAGTAATACTCATGACCATGAATGTTTCATCACAAACTTCTGCTCACTTTAAGCTCAGGCTACATCTTAAAACGCTGTAATGCATATTATTTTTTAAATAAATGCATTGTTAATTAATGGCACAGCCTCTGGAGATTCAGGGGCAAAATCTTAGTTATAGATTATGTGCTCTGCGCCTGAATAGTCACATGTGTGACCTCAATTCAGCAGCAGGCCGCCGAAAAGACTCCGTGATTAAACACTGTCATTATAACAAATTGAATAGAAACCGCAAGCCTTGAATCGTTCTATAAGAAGGGGATAGGAAGGATATTGTTCTGATCGTGCTGCTAATATTCACTGCACCAGTTTTCTGAGGTTTGTGTCTTTATTGTCATGAGGAGTTGTAAAAAAATAGTATGTGGTAAGAGTGAGGTCAGCACACTATGGGACATTTATGTGTCACCCATCCTGATGCTTCCTGTCCACAGAATGATACTGTCACTGTGTTCCAGAGTCACGGCTTGCTTTCTGAGGTTTCTTTTTCCCTCTGTGGCCTTTGGTTACTCATTTTTAAAATTAGGTGATGGACAGCTAGCTGGAACAAAAGGCAAATGGGATTATTCCTACTTGGAGCAGTCATACTTCCTGTTTAACATATGCATTTGAATTGGTTTTCCTCTTATCCCCAAATCAAAAAGGGAAGTAATTGTACAAATCTCACACTGCTGATGAAAATACAATTACTTCACTTCTGCTCACAAGCAAAATGCTGCTGAGAGGCTATCACAGCATGTCCCCCTGATCATCGTTGAGGCTGGAGGGTAATAACAGCATTTCTCCTTTCTGGCAGGAGGGAGGACTAAACACTGCAGGTTGATCTACTATTGGGGGTAATGGAGGAACTTTCTTTAATCATTCTCTGCTGATTGCACCCTTGCTACTCAAAGTGTGATCCATGGGCCAGCATAATTATCACCTGGGAGACCTGGGCACTTGTCAGAAATGCAGAATCTCAGGCCCCTACTCCAGACCTACTGAATCAGAATCTGCAATTCACAGAACCTCAGCTGATGCATATGCACAGTAAAGCTTGAGAGGTACTGCCCTGCAAGATCTTTAAGGGCCTCCAAGCACAGTTTCCCAAATCACATGATTCAAGATGACCTTAGTGGTATTTGAGGAAAATCAGGGTTCCCTGCTCAAGTGTGTCTGGGAAAGGCTGCAAATTTGAATCCTCTCTTTGGAAATTATGACAATTCCCATTAACACAGTGAAGGATCAGAGAAGTCCTCCCAAAAGGAAACCTGTTTATTATTTGATGAATAACACTATTTGAGGAATAACCAGTGTTGCCCAGTTTGCCCACTGATCCCTTTCTAACATGAAAAGCCTATCAACATTTTGTGGACCCATGGCCAAGGACAGTTCACCTCGGGGTCTCCAAGGTGGACATGCTCTAGAGATACACACAGGAGGATGTGTCAGCTCAGACGTGCAGGGACAGAGCGCTGGAGAATGCAGCATTCACCGTACTTGGAACTTTTCTATTATTTCTGAATGTCTCCCTCACCTCCCTCCCTAAACTTGCAAAAAGCTGAAGAAAACTGATTGTGATTTCATATGCATTTCCTCATTTAGGAAAAATCAATTCCCAGAAGCAGAATGAAGCAGAGCCACGGCCTCAGACTTGCTCATCATTTGACTATACTGACAACACCAAGGCAAGGGAGCCGCTTGCAGACTGGGGCAGTGAAGACAACGCTGAGACCCAGGTAAGGGGAGGCCACCAGGGGGGTGCCCTCTGCCTGTTGATCCTGATTGTGAAAAGTGGTCTCCTGAAACACTTTTGTGATAGAAGGAAATTTAAATCAAATTTTCCCTTGCTTCAGTGAATTAAAAAAGGGCCCAAGACTCACCTTTTTCCCTGAATTATTAAGTAACACCATGGGTTCTCAGGAGGAAGAAATTGAGATGCCTCCATGGATCAGTACCCAGATTCATGAGGTATGGATGCTCTGCCCTGATCAGATGTTGTGAAATAGGCATTCACTCCCCCAAGCCATAAAAGCACCACTTAGAATGATTTAACGGTATGTTTTCATTATCTTCTAAGTTACTTTAACCTTTACCTTGTTCCTACGAGGCAGGTAAAACAGGTATAACTATATTTCTTTTAGGGAACAATAAATGGAGGCCTGGAGTGGTCAGGTGGCTTGCCGGAGTCAGACCTGCATTTTTCAATGCCTATCATTTTTGCGACAGGTTCTTCACCTACCCTGAGGTGGTGCCCAGAGGCCTCACACTGTGTGACCGGACCTAGGGAGAAGCTCATGGCTCAGGGCCCTGGCTGTCATCCCTCAGAGTGCCCCTTGGTACCCTCTTCCATGCTCCCTCCCATTTACCTCTTCCAGCCTGTACGGAGCTTGTCAGCTTGTCCTGGGGCTGGCCGCCTTCAGGATCTTTGGTGGTGTGGGGCAGCAAGGAGGTTGGGAAGAAAGACATATGGATCAATTGCCAGAGCATCTGGCCCTTCCTGCCTCTGCTGCCTTTGGCTTTCCCAACCCCGGCATTAGGAGCCCCTTGATTTTCTACCCAACTATGAAGAAATACCCAGATTAGCCCACACTGAGGTCCCCCACAGCCAGTGTGGCCAAGCCTTCTTTCAGTCTTTAGCACCTCATTCTAGAAATGGGACCACGAACAAGTAGGAAAAGAGATCCTCTGGGCCCACAGCCTCAACTTACCCCAGAGACACCAACTTCAGAGAGGTACTGGACCAAGTTCAGGGAACAAGGGAAGGTTACCTTGGAGCTGGGATGTCTGAATCCCATGTCTAACACCCAGCATGACTGCCTCTATGGAATGGGGATCTAAGAGACAAAGAAGCAGCCAGTATTCTATCACACCTCAGTTTAAACCTAAAAATGGTAGGACTCCTCCAAAGCAGTGGCTCCCAAACTTCAGTGAGCATCAGAATCAGCTGGGGGCTACAACTCTTGCTGCACCCCACATGCACTCCACGTCCAGGTTGGTGTAGATGGGTTGAGGTCCAAGCATTTCTAACAAATTCCCAGGTAACACTGCTGGTCCACAGAAAACACTTTGAGAAGCACTACTCCAAGGACTCCATGCTGGCTTTGGGAACTGGAAAGTTGAGAAACTCCTAAAAAACAACCAGAGTTGGAGGGGAAATAGTTCAGAAACAACAGGAGGTGATAGTGCCAAAGGGGTTTAGGAAATTCCAAAAAAACTTTAAAAAATAAAAAAAGAATTACTGCTGGCCAGGAAGGAGAGGTTCCCTCTACTGATGGCAGGGCACCCATCGCCCAACATACACACACATCAACACACACACACCTCTCTCGAGCTCCCTTCCTCACTGTCCTGCACCAGCTCTGTCCACGGAAAATCTCACCCTGACTAGTAAGAGTCACCACTGTGCCTTGGACCTTGGAACCCTGAATATCAGCTAGGGAACATCTGAAGCACGAGTTAGCTTTCTGTTTCCAGTCTCCAGCACAGTGCCCAGTCCCCTTAGTGTTTGTTGAGTGGACGGATGAAAAAAATGTGTCTTATCATACCTACAAAGTGTTACTTGGGTCCTGCTAGAACTCTGGATGCTGGGCCCCCCTGGAACCACAGCCAGTAGACTTATCATCCTTCATGGGCATCATCCTTGCTGGAATGCCAGCGTCTTTTGTATGGCGCTCCACTCTCGCAGAACCAAGTACACCCCAGAACTTGGCATGCAGTAGGTAAGCATCTGTAAATGAATGAAGGAATGAAGGAAATGAGTCACTACTCAAATTTATAACCCCAGCAGAGAGAGCTTACATCCTAAGATTTTTTTTTTTAAATAATTTCTGACCAAATTAACTCCCAAAGAACCATCCCATATACTTTGACCTTAACTGTCTGGGATAAATGGGAAATAATAGGCCATAACAGAGCAGTCTGCAAACATAAGGGGGTCCCAAACGCCCAATTCTGTACACAGGAACTACATTTCTGTTCACAGAACTGCTTAGATCCAGTATTCTGCTTCTGTGCATAAAGGGGGACACCGTTGGTGCACTACCATCCCTGTCAGCAATGCCTGACACGGCAATATTGCCACCCCAGTGACATCCTTGAGGGTCAGATTTTATGTGCATGTGAGCAAGAGAGGAGCTGAGCCCCACAGCCCGTGCACTTCCAGTAGATTTGAAGATTATAAAGATTAGGAATTGCATACTTTCCTAAAGGCTCCTGTCCTCTCAGGAGCTGGAAGAAGATTATAAATTAGGCAAGCATTTATTCTTTTGTTACCAAGGTTGATTTTTTTCATTCTCTCTGATACTCAAAAGCCAATGATGAGATCAGTTAAATAAGTCATTCATCTTGAAACAGCAGCTCATAAAAAGCACTTGAGGAAAGTAAGACCCCATAGAGAAGTGTAGGAAATGCAAAGCAGGGATCCTGTGAGGCACTGCCTCTGCCTGGGACAGTGGCAGAGTCTGGCCAATGGCTTCATTTTCATGGCCCATCTCTGCAGCCCTGGTAACTGGGCAGACTGCACAAGCTTTGCGTGAGGTAAGAAGATGGACAAAACAGAGTAGTTCTGGGGTCGGGCATGGGAATGGTGTTCTGGGCACACGACAGCCAAATATGAGCTGTTTCCCATCCTCACAGGATATTCTGCCCCATTTTGATTTGCATGAGTGATTGTAACAGTCTCATGTTACTCATCTAGGACAAGGTACCCAGAATGTGTGAGTACTCTGGCAGCGGTGGCAGTGATAGTGACAGTGACCTGGACTGTGAAAATAATGGTTTTGGAGCTGGAAGGGGCAAGTTAGTAACAGCCATGAAGAGCGCCACGCAAGGTAACGCACACGAGCACACTGGACACCCTCAGGCCCCCCTGTCTCGGGGAAGCCACTGCCTGTGCCTGTGCCTGTGCTGTGCTCCACCTCCCCCCACCTGCCCCTGATCCTACATCTTGGCTCCACATCTCTCCTGAGATCTAATTTTCTGGTATGTGCAGAAGATTGTCTATGTGCATCAATCTGTTTTCTGGTATAATCTTCATGACATTGTAGTGCAGTCTGTAAGGATTTTATTTTCAAATCTGGCATCTCCCAAAAAGTCTCCAGTTGAATTATTTCAGTAATGAAGGAATGACTCTAGAAGTAAATTTGTTCTTAATTACATTCTTTGGCAGGTCAAATCATCCAATGAGCAATGGACGGAGTTGCCAGGCTCTTTGCTCATATTGTGCTGTGTAGCTCTAGACTTGTGAGCCAGGCCATTAGGAACATGTCTGGGTATAAAGCTGACTCTCCCTCACTATATATTTTTTTAAGTCAGAATTGGCAGTGGGAAAACCATCACCCTACGGCATTTAAACATATGTATATTCAGGTGGCATTTCCTTACAGATACAAGAGGACAGATGAACCCCTCACAAAAAGTATGATCTAGGGTCTGCTTTTCTCCTGACCTACTCTGGATTGTCAGAAATACTTTAACTACACAGTGGAGAATCATTGTTTTCATACTAAGCAGCTTTTCCTCAAAATGCTAATTTAGCAATTACATGATGAAACCATGACTTTCTTTTTCTGAAGCAAGATTGAGATGTCACTTTAGGGAAAAACTAGCAACCGTGTGTTTCCAGTTTTCCGAGAGACTTGGCATTTGTGACATGTTGGAGTAAGATGGGCATGCAAGAATAGCCATTAGCCTGGGCCTCCACGTTGTTCCTTGCTTTCCACAAGTCATCAGGGAAGCAGGACCAATGGTTGAATTATGCAAAGGCTTACCACAAGGGAAGTAGCAAATACCTGGGCATTGTAGTTAGGCCCTTGTCCCCACTGGTTCTCCGTGGTTATTAATGTCCTTCTGGTTATGACAGATAAAGGGGAAGGAGAATTCCTCATCATGCGCTTGTCCAGTGAAGATGCCTAGGGCCAGGCCGGCTCCTAGTCCATGTTCTTCACTAGGAAGCCTCATGGGTCCACAAGTGAATAACCTCACCCCGTTGACCCTCAACTGCTCCATCCAAGTATGATTTCCAGGCCCCTCCCAGCTCTAAAACTCCATTTATTTAATAAATATTTATTGAAAGCCTGCCTGGGCCAGCTTTCCAGGAGTGAGTAAATGCACAAAGATCCCTGCGAGACAGTAAACAAGAGATAATAAACTAGTAAGAGTGTAAGTTTGTTGTGTAAGTTTATTGAGAGGAGACAAGTGCTATAAGAGAGACAGAAGGAAGCAGGATACGGTTGGGGGAAGTGAGGGGCACCTCATGGAGCAGGTGATGTTTGAGTAGAGATTTGAACAAATAGTGGGAGTGAATGCAGAGAATATCTGGGGGAAGACCATTCTGAGCAGAGGACCAGCCAGCGCCCTGAGGCAGGAACCGCGGGAGGCCAGCGTGGCTGTGGCAGAGAGAACAAGGCAGAGATGAGGTCAGGTAAGGAAAGGGGGCCAGAGCCATGCCCTCCATTCTGAGACGTGCCTGGGAGCCTTTGGAGCAGAGGAACAGCATGAACTGAGATATTTTAAAAGATCGCCCTGGCTGCTGTGCCGTGAAGGCTAAGAGGCTGTTAGCCATCCAGCCACCTTAGTGGCTAGGAGCAGGGTGGTCGCAGTGAAAGGAGAGTGCTGACGGACAGAACTCTGCAGTGATGGAAACCTTCTGATCCACGCTGCCCAACACATAACCGCCAGCCACACCTGCATGGCCCGTAACACCTGAAATGTGGCTAATGTGAGGAAGGAACTAAATTTTTTAATTTAAAATTTGCTGTGGTTTTCCTAAGAGTTCTCACGTGGTCCATTTCTTTTTTCACTATCGTTTTAAAATTTCAACTAATTTTATTTTAAATATTAATAGCCAGATGTGACTTATACAACACAGGGAGTAAGAATGGTATAGTTCCAGACCAAATTAAATATGCAACACTATTCACTGGTAGATTGGAGGTGGGGTGAAAGAAAAGACAGAGCCAGGGTGGCCTAGGGTTTGGGTCCTGAAGGGATGGACAGCATTCTGCTGACTCAAGTGGAGAGGGTTGACGGTGGGCTTGGGGAGCTGGATTGGTAGTTAATTGGGGACATGCTAAGTTTGAGATGCCTGTGAAGCAAGGGGAAGAGTTGGGTAGGCCGTGGGGTGCATGCGTCTGCAGTTGGGCAGGGCAGGCCATGTCTGGAGAGGTAACTTGAGTGTCAGCATGCAGGTGGCATTTGAAGCCCTGGGTGCAGATGAGACCAGGAGTGCTGGTAGAGGAAGGGCCTCATTCTCCTCTCCCATCTCTAAGTTTAGAGGTCAGGGAGAAAAGGAAGAACCAGCCCGGGAGACGGAGCAGGAGCAAGCAGGGAGGGAGGAGAGCGGGGGAGGGTGGTGTCTGAGGGTCCAAGGGCAGGAATCCCCTATTCTGTGGTCCTGCCTCTCCCTCTGCCCTGGGGTTCTGGTGGGGGGTGGGCAGAAATGGGTGGGAGAGGGGAGGAGAGGTGGTGTAAGGCAACGAAAACATCTGGGAAAAGAAAAGAGATGACTGCCTGACTCTGACGGAGCCTTAACTTTAGGGCTCAAACCGTGCCCTTGCTTTGGGGCAGTGAGTCGGGCAGCGCGATGAGGAGTACACGTCAGGTGATGGCTAGGGAGGGATCCTGATGAACAGAACTTGCTCCTTTCATTTTTTTTCCTACCCTTCTGCAAAATGAAGTGCAGATCCGCCTTTTTCCCTCTACTCTATCTTGGCTCATCTCACTCCCTCCAACTGGAGCAAATCCCTACTTAAATAGAGCAACTTCTTTTATTCTATTGCTTTGGGCTCTGGACAAATGGTGCTTCTTGGAGTAAGAAGCTGAGAGCTAGGCAGAGTAACGCTGGAAGTAACACAGCCAGCAAGAAGACCCCTCCCTCTAGCCAGGTGCCTGCCCTCTGTCTTTGCAAGTGGACTTGTTGCCAGAGCTCTGTCACCTGCTTGCTCTGGTCCACTGCCCACCTGGCTGAAGGCAGTTCTGCCAGGGAGGGGAAGCGTATATGACAAGTGGGGTGGCTATGGGTGTGTGCTGGCTTTTACAGACCCCAGGAAAGGGACATTTAGGGTGAATGTAGCATCATTAACTTTTTAAATGTTGGCACTGTTGATCTGAAAAGAAAATAGAAAAAAATAACAGTAACACACTAGATGTATAGCAGAGATTTTTTCTCCCTTCATGTCACCATTTTGCTTTGCGTTTATCACATGGGCCTGTGAACAGGAGATTGCACCCCTCCTGCCACCTAGTTCCCTCTTTAAGTAAGAAGGTTTTGTAACCTATCCACTCTGCAGGCCCCCAGAAATGTGTCCTTTCTCAAACATGCCTTCTCTCCCTGGATCTCTGAAATTTCCCTCAGGTAGAGGCAGCCCATGGGCAGTGGCAGTGCCCTGCAGGGCTGCTAGGAAGGTACTTGGGGGCCTCTCCCTCCCCCCTCCCCCTGGGTCCCCTGCTGCCAGCCACAGGCTCTGCCCAGTCATTAGCCATTCACCCTGCTGGTCACAGCATGCCTGCGGCCTCCCTTTTAAACACAGACACTGGGACCCCAAGTTCCCTGGTTTCTTATGCCCACTTGCTTCTTTGAATCACATTGAATGTGGCAAAAGATACCTACTTTCTAAACCCCTGCCTGTGGGCTCATAAAACACTAAAGTAAATACATGTCTTTTCTTTCAAGGTTGGTTTCTCTAGCTTGATGTTGAAATATGTTTAAAAGTCCAGGCTGTTAGCACAGAGTCAGCGGTTCAGAGCAGGATTTAGGAGCTGGGTGGGTAGCCCAGCTGGTGAGATTCCAGAGGGAGTAATTCGGTGGCTTGGTTTCCAGAGCTCCCACTCTAATTTGCCAAGCTGGGCATAACAGATATCCATGCCCCCTCCCTGCAGGCAGGGCCTTGAGAAGGCATGACAAAGACAGCAAAGTAAAGGGGGCAGTGCCAACCAGGGACAGGGCATAGCATGGGCAAGACCTGGTGGAGCTGCAGCTATGAGCTCCATCTCAGGAAGAAGGGATGGAGGGGAGTCTCACCGTGGCTGAACCCACAGGACCTGGCTTGTAAAAAGTCAAGTAGCAACCTCCAGCCAGGCTTCTCCCCAAGCATCTCATTCATCTGCCAGCCGCTCACCACCATCACAGAGCCTGCCAGGTACCTCAAGGGCAATAATCCAAACTGAAACCTCTCCTTTTCTCTCTATACATTTCTGCTTCCCAGGCTCTGTCTTAACTCATGGTCTGACCATTCTTTTAGGAATACAGTCTGTGAAGCAAGGCATTTTCCTCGCCTCTTCCCTCCCCCCTTCCACGTTCTGGTAGTCCTGAGGTCCTGCTCGATCCCCTCCCGGATGCTTCTCACGTCTGCCCTCCTGAGCTCTTGTACGGGGCCTCACGAGCACATTCATCTGGTCCCCACAGCCCCACTGCCTCCCTTTACCCCTTGTCCTCGTCAACCCCCTGCTGGTCCCATCCCCCTCAAGTGCATCATCTGTGCTGCCACCAAAGTGCAAGTCCCATCATGTTGTTTCTTTGCTTAAATTTCTTCAAAGACTCTCCATTTCACACCAACAAAAGCCAACCTCCTCCTTTTCTCAAGGGTCACAAAGCCCACCTTGGCTTCGCCTTTCTGACTTCGTTTTTCTCCATCTCCTGTCGCAAACCATGCAAACCATGCATCCGTCCTGAATACAAGATGCTGTTAGGGTGCTTTGCCCTGTGACCTCACTTCCTGGAGTGGCTTTAATAGCAACACCCTTTTTCTCTAACCCTCATGTCATGTAACTCCTACTTGGTCCTTAAGATTCAGTCTAGACTTTTGCCTTATCCAGGAACACTTCCTGGATG